CAATCATTATTGACAATGTTAAAACTGCGCGACCCTTCCTTTCGAAGGGTGTCCCTAACAAGAACCCCTCCCACGATGTTCAGAGTACACAAGTGAGCCTCTTTCAGCTTCACGCGCTTCGAAAACTTAGTTTCCAAAACTCTAAAAGCCCGGCTGAACTTTTTCTATGGTATATATTGAATACATAATATAATAACAATGCACCCATACATTCAATCAAGCTCATGTGGGCAAATTTCTGAGGACCGTGACTCTGAGTGTGCAAGACCTCCAACCAACATCTCAGGCAACATCGTAATTATCTACGACCTACCGAGGATCGTTGAGTTGGACCCTTGTACCAATCCCAGTATCAGCTCCCTGTAAATTCGTCTGTGTGAAATCTACTATGAAGTTTTCGGTTTATTTCAATGTGCACTGATGTGCTCTTGTAAGCATTTTTTAAGGGTTTAGCAAAATGTGATTAGTTCAGATTTAAACGTGCGGGTGGTCTTTTTTGTCCACTCCCTCCGCGTATATAATTGACAGAATGGCGATATTTCAAAAGATCTCCCCAAGCTTTAAAAATATACTTCTCTTCATGTCGATCTATAATACAAATACGACACCTTTTTTTATATTATAACCCCTTACTAAATTATGAAATGTTAGCGTTGCCATAATCCCACGGATGGCTTGCCTATCGTCCTCTTCCTGAGGGTATACCCCCAGGAGGCCCGTCGCGCGGCAAAAAGGCAAAGTCAGCGGACGAGTCGCGCGCGCACTATAGGGATTTCGCGTCAAGTTAAAAAGAGTGTCCCATTGCACGTCCTACATCGCACATCACGCGCTGCAACTCGTCCGACGACTCTGCCTTCTTGCCGCGCGACGGGCCTCCTGGGGGTACCCTCCTCCGTGTGAAGTTTCACTGTAGTAAGGAAGTCACAACTAAGCTGCATACTACAGTTACAGCTGCACCACTACAGCTAAATTGCTCTGAACAAGTTTCAAGCTCCATAAATTACAGAGTGTCCATAAATATATTATAACAAGACGAAGCGGTCGTGAAAAATCTGAAAATACACCTATGTTTTCAAGCTCAATATACGAAGAGCAAGTTCTTTCCCAGAATGGCCGACGTTTGCAGTGGCAATGGACGAAAGTATTCTGGTCGACCACTTCATGACGTCCCGTAGTGGTTGATGAAGTAATTCCATCCCAATATTTGCAAGTTAGGGATGGAGGAGCAGGGTCGGTCCTACGTTGCTACAAGTAGCAACGGGGGGGGGTCGTACTTTGATGAGTTTTTAGAGGGGGGGGGTCGTACTTGCTTCGATTGTGAGAAGTTGCATGAGGTGAGTGGAGGAGTGGCGCGGGAATTTGCCGTGAAAATTTTACCGTTTTATTGTCCGTTTCAGAAGATGGGGTAGGAAGGGGAAATGGTGGAATAGCGGAATTTAGGGTTATTTTTACCGGTTTCTCGACGGCATATCTTGGAGGAAAAAGTGGGCGGGGGTTTTCGTGGTTCGAGTGATACCAGAATGAAATACTATAGCGAGGAATATGGTGGTCGAGGGTCGAGAAGGGGGGTCGTACCAAATCCACCTTTGGGGGAGGGGGGTCGTAAAAATTTTTCGAAAAGTAGCAACGATAGGACCGACCCTGATTGGAATCCTTGCGCTTATGTGCTTCAACTCGAGGGACATCTAGATGCTTTAAAACCTGCAGTTGGAATCGTTTCGGTTTGATTAAATATGTATGCGGCGGCTCCTGCTAGCGTAATTTATGGCCTTCAGACACAGACCAAAAACTCATTTATATACATATTACTTTCAAAGAAATGCACATAGAAATATAATGAGACCGATAAGAATTGGCTAATGTTGTCTTAATTAACATCTTAGTTAACATCTTTTTTTTTACGACCTACAAGAAAAAATATCAGGTACAGTAGCGATAAAAAACATGAAGTTTTTCCACCTAGCCACTGAACAACGACTTTGGCACAAATTTACATAATACAATACTCTAGGTCACGAATATACGATGTGCAGCATCAATGTTCTAAGCAGAATATCATGGCTGAAAATTGACCTTTTTCTGGAAAATAGTGCTGTCAGAAACAGGGGCGAGGAAAACGCCTGACAGGGGGTCGTGATACTTATCAGGCTGCGGTCAATGGGGTTTGCACTACGTTGGCGGCCGCCTCGGCGGCCGGGTAGTAACGGCGTATCAGTGGCATTCGGTACGCGGCACTGATAGGAGTAACGAGGCGGTGTAAAACCAGAAAACAAAGACATGCTGCAAGGAAACATAATAATATATACTTTGCAGCGTTCATTCGCCCGGATGCATTTTTCTACCATCATGGGAAGGAGATTTTTGAAAGCAGTACGAGGAACGAAGGTGCAACGGAACACGTGTGCGCGCTGCTGCAAAGGCATCCTCTGTCTACCGCCGCTCGTTTTCCCCTTAATACCTTGTTGAGAATGACACTGTTGTTGAGGACGCTGTTGCAAAAACGACAACCTTGATGGAAAGGCCCCGGACAAATGAAGCTGTTCCTGAGGTTACAAGAGTTACAAAGTGTGTTCACTACAATGCAGCTTCTGCCAACTTGTCATAATCATACAACACCTTTCACTCGATTCTGTAACTTCGAGTGAAGGCGATGCATGGCCTACACCCAGGCAAATCGGATGATGACGATTGCCCCTTCTCTTATTGCTTATGTCAGAAAAATGTATTCTAGACAATTTCGAGCGTCGCCAACGAATTATATCATATGTAACCCGTCCCGTGCGTTACGTGCTATTCGTGCTATTCAAAAGGGCTGGGGGAATGGCGGAGTGGAATGTTCTTTCATCGAGGGTGTAGATTTCGACGGTTTTTTTTTTTTGGATTTCAGCAAATCTGACCCAGTGACAATCGCGCCGCAGCTGCCGTTGAATCGGCCGTTGATTGATACACTCGGCTGTTTCGATATACTCAAGCAGGAATTAAGATTAAATCGCAACCCCGTGCCTTCAGGATTTCTGTGCATTTCTGAACGAACCTGACTTTGAGGTCACACAAAGTTAATGCCTCTTTCCTCGAGTCGATATTTCAGTAAATACACAAAAGTGTGCAGCGATGAAGAAGTGCATAGATGACAAGATGAAGGCGTTTATAATATTATTTTGCAGGAATTTTTTTGATTAATTAATTGAATTAATTGCGTATGCTTTGTTTCAGAGGGGTCGTGCCAAGACCTCGATTTCAGGGGGGTCGTATTCTGCGACCACGTCCTCGACACGATTTTCACCCTGTGGGGTGTTTGAAGCTCCAGTTTTTAGCCCCGTATCTGTGCTCTTCGAATGATATTGCAGGAATCTCATGGAAACTAATCGCTAGCAAACATGAGCCTATCACCATTCATATTTTCTGCTAGAAGTTTTCCTGCATAACAGGTGGAAACAGTGAACCACAGTGAATGAATTCTCCCTCTGAAGGCATACCCCAGGATCAAATTGGTGTTGCACACCAATACGAATTTGTTGGTGGAAAATGGGACAGCAGTAAAGAAAAAAGGAAAAGAATCCGTCGAAAACGCTTCAGGTTAAGGGCTCACTCACCTTCCTAATCGGCTGTGCTAAGGGAATGAGAGACTAAGCGCGGAGAGGAGAGTATGAGGCGAGAGAGCGCTACAGATGAGAGGGCGCCAGACAACAGCCTGATAAGAAAAAAATTGCAGCTGCAGCAGCTTACTTTGCAAGGCCCTAGCGCTCTTGTCGGGTGATTTCCGTGCACGGGAATGCCACATCTGTGATTGTCCTCTAGGGTTCTATCCTACAGATCGAAGGGAATCGATTTCACGACCACTGCCTGGGTTGTGCCTTTGACGGTGCCACACACATATACAGCCCTTGAAAAACTATTAAGAATCGGAACGGAAAACCGATAAACTCCCATCTGGTTATTGATCACTATTAAGAGGAAGGGAAATGCCACGACCGAGTCTTTGTCGTCGTTCGTCTCCTTTGCTTATACAAGTAAATCGATCCTTAATGTGCTAACTCTCTACTTCCGCTATTGTTTGAGAATCAAAGCTAGTGCTGCTGTCTAGTCGATGGAGTGCGCCATCGATGAACATCCGTCCATCGCACCACCAAAAAGACGCTGATAAGATTCCACATAAAACGGCGCCTACAATGTTATCAGTTCGTGTAACGTTCCTTTTCACGGCCTTCGAACTTTTTTCAGCTACTCTTTCTATTGCAGAAGCGCTGGCGTACTTTGTATTTCGCTATGCAACACACATGACTGCAATTCAAATGTTCCGGTCCAATTTTGTCTGATCCTTCGCTCAACTTTGGTGTTTCTCTTTGTCGCTTAGAAAGCACTGCTTGGATTGCTTCTGTAGCCGTTACCAAGATGGTATAATCACTTTATTGGCTAACGTTTCGGACGTGTCGCCTTCGTCAGAGCCTGGAAAGCAAGCAAAAGATAAGGTGTGACCTAACCTCCAAACGCAATTTCATGACCGAACCACAGACCCCACCACATAAGCTCTGGAATGCATTTTGGATTGGCGCTAAAAGTCCTAAAATGAACAGGAAAGACGAATGCCTGTCAATAACTAATGAACTCGCACCGTTCCTTGACCTGTGCGGGCTTCGACCGCCTACGGCTTCATGTCGGAGGGTCAGGTCACCTGAGGCCACCCGCGGTCGGTCAGAATAGCGGTGGTCCAACCAGTAACCTGTATCTTTGACTTGCTTTCCAAGGCTCTGACGAAGGCGACACGGCCGAAACGTTAGCCAATAAAGTGATTATACCATCTTGGTAACGGCTACAGAAGCAACTCCAAGCAGTACACGTAATGCCAAGATTTATGGATATCGAACCTGGAAACTGTTTAGAAAGCAATTTATCACATAGAAAACCTAGGTGTAATCCGTACCTCTTGACCATGGCACAGTATACCGTAGCCACTCTTTTCAACGGCATTACGAACAACGGCAAATTGCATCCCTTTAGGTATGCCATCATTCCTGGAAGTGACCACCACGCTGCCATTCAGCTATGAAAATGCTAAGGAGTATACGAAAAGCGTGGAGCGACCCACCTTCTATATCTCTATAGCGTACATCGTGGTCATATTTACTACCAAAGCCATAATGACTAATTTCAAGCCATTCCAAGTAAGTGGCATAGGACAGTGAAGTAGAGCAGAGCTTATCTAACATAATGGTAACTGTTACAGTTGACCTCTGCGCTGAATTTCTGGAACGCATGGTTGGCGATATTCAGCACTATTGGAAGTCTTGTCACAGGATATGGTCTATTCTATGAAATCTTTCATAGAGGACTTGTGTGTGAGTTTTTGAATCGAATTAAACGCCCTGCTGATCCTCACAGAAAGTTGTCCAATATGGCGCCACCAATTGTGCTACGTACAGTAACGTTCAAAGATCGCCATCGAAACGGTTTCTTGTACATTGATCTTTCCCACGTAGCAAGTTCCCTTGAGATCTTGGTTTCATAAGTTTTACTAACTTTGAATCTTTGAATTTTACTTATTCAAAAGTTACTAAATAAAAATTTCCAGTTAATTCTTAAAACTATTTCAAGAGAAAAAAATTGATGTAGCAGAATATTTCGGCGGAGACTTATGATGTCACTGTTTGCTTGCGCAACGTTAATGCCTACATCGGTTCATCAGTTAAAAACGGAAATGAAGTGGCCCGTGGAGGGATTTGCGACGAACATCTAATTTTTCTGCGAGCATCCCCAAAATGCACGAGTGCTACCACCGCGTAACCCTTTTTGGCGAGGAATCCTGAACCGTGGCTAACTCTGTTTTATACCTATCCCCGTTTTCATAGAAGAAGGTGCTTTCTGTTCACCGGGATTTTACGATGAAAGCTCAGAGGTCGAGGAGGAAAAAGTCCTGGTGGAAAACAGGCGGTTTTTCCAAAGGTGTGGGACGAAGTGCGGCATACCCTAAATGACCTAAAAAGGACATACCTGTGCCGCTCTCGCCGCTGCCCGTCCACCCTACCCCCCGTCTTCCTCCAACGAATTAGCAAGTACAGAAACGTGATTTGCTCTGCTGCTATGACCGCCACCTCTTGCTTCCCATTGTGAAGAACATTTCATTTCAAGGACCGTATCCCTTTTATTTTCCTATGTAATGCTTCTCAATCATAGCATGTTGATTGTTGGTATGACAGTTGAGTTTTCACGTGCAAACGAGCCCATCTTGGTCGTTGGCTCGTCTGAAGCGGAAATCGATGGGCAAAAAAGGGTCCCATTTTTTGGGTTCTAGGCCTGGGCCATTTTTGGTTCTCTTCATCACTGCACCTTTGTCCCCTATCCTTACTTTATGATGTGCTGCCTTTTCATCGCAATCACGCCTTTGAAGGCACACAGCATGACCGAATAGGTGTAGTATTTGCACACGAATATGAAACATGGATGTGAAGTGGGTCGTTCGGAAAAAAATCCGTAGATAACGCTCAGAAGGGCTTGCTCACTTCGCAGCGCGGCTGGGGTAAGACAAGGAGAATCTGAGCGTGAAAGTATGAAGCGAGAGAACGCAACAGATGAGAGGGCTCCAGACGACAGCCCTGCTGCGAACAGGGCAAATTGCAGCTGTTGAAGCTGACTTTACAAGATTCTAGCACCATTGCATGGTCATTTCCATGCACGAAAGTGACACTTCTGTGATTGCCTTTAAGAGATCTATTCTATAGACCAAATGGAATTGTTCCTACCACTTTTGCCTGGGTTGTGCCTTCAGTGGAGTGGAAGAGACGTATACATAAGTGCATCTAAGTGTGCTAAGGCAAAATCATCCTGACGATGAGAGCGGACTATTTTTGAGCGAAAAGAAACCCCTGAAGATGGTGTTCAACACCGATGAATGAAGCCAGCGTCATGAAAGATTAGTCAGGCCACCCATGCAACTTTTTGGACACGTTTTCTTCCATTTCTAATGAAACATAGAAATCTCTTTAAGAATGGTTAGAACTTGTAATGTGATAATATTTGGATCCTGGAAAAGTCATGCATTATCTATTTACAGCTTCCTACACTCACATTGGCGACTACTTCCATGGCTACAGTGGGCTATTGACGTTCCTGTTCGTGATGAGCAAAGTCCTCGAATTTGGGGACACAATTCTTCTGGTTCTGCGCAAGAAGCCTCTTATTTTCCTGCACTGGTTAGTCACCCATTTCCCCGACCCTGGCACGCTTTACGTGAATGTTGATTCAGGTATCACCATGTGTTGACTATGAACTATGCCATAATGTCGTACTCGCACGACATCGCCTACAATAGCTGGATCACCTGGATGAACTTCACAGTACATTCGATTATGTATGGGTAAGTTTCGCAAGGAATGACATGATTAGGTCCGGACCCTTGTTAAAATATCGTTTTGTAGATATTACATGCTCCGATCAATGGGTGTGAGTGTTCCAGCTTGGGTGGCCAAGAACATCACGACAATGCAGATTCTGCAGTTCGTTATCACCCATCTGATTCTCTTCCACGTTGGATACCTGGTCAGTCAGGGAGTCGAAGTCGACAGTACACCTATCGTATTCTGGTGAGTGATAATCTTTCTTGAATCTGAATTATCTTAAAGTTCCATGCTTCCATGCTCTCACGGAACATTGCATGAGAAAGGGAATGGTGTTATTTAGGGGAGCAAATAAAGCATAAAAGCATAAGCATTTGCCGTTGATCAATCCCTTTTTGGGATGCGGCACGCATTCTACTTCCATTTGTACATTCGTAGTGGCGTTTGAATGCGATGTGCCT